GGCGGACAGGACGTCAGACAGGATGGACTGACGCATACTACATGTCCTACATGGACTCTCCACAAAATCCACAGACCTTACGTTGCATTGACTTAGTCCTTTATCCGGGACTGACCGCCCGGCAGATCCTCTCTTCACCATTCTCCCCGACTCTCTCCCACCTATTCTTACAAAACCCACTGCGAGCCATTGCTTGGAGAGTTTGAGCTTGCGACCGAGGGGCGGGAGAGATCTGTGTGGCTGGGCGCATGGAGATCACAAACAACGTGCTGGAGCTGACCATCGAGCGCTTCGCCGGTCAGCACACAACGCGCACCCACATCAACATCATTACACACGGGCTGTGACCGACGTGGTGTGGCTTTTGGATGGATGAATGAATGCAGAGAAGTGCAAACACATACGCAACGATCAAAGGTCAGATCATCACAGACAAGATCAGGTCAGATCAATATGCTGCTGCTGGGGTGCTTCTGTGGTCGTGTGTGTGCCAAATGATTAGTCTGTCGACACCTAAGATGACTGTGTTTGGCATCCCGGACTGCGTCATATCCTTCTACCCAAAAGGTGAGCTGAGGTGGGATGGGCGACTGTCTGTCTGTCTGTCTGATTTGGGCTGCATGCTGCATGCCTGCGAGTGTGTGTGCGTGTCTTTAGGTAACTTTTGGTGCACCAAGGATGACCACTGCAGCCTCGTCTTCGTCGCACCGGCAGACATCAAACTCAAGGCACACAAACTGACAAGCAAACATGTGTCTGCTGTGTGTGGATGGACGGATGGATGTGTGTGTGTTCAGCTGCGGATGTATGTGGGTACGTGCACCAGGGACGCCGAGGAGCTGCTCACACTCGAGGACACCAATGAAAAGGCACGTCGAGTGCTCTGCACACACACACACAGAGAGAGAGAGAGAGACAGAGAGCAAAGACACCCTTGTGTGTGTCCTGTCGACTGTGTCGTTTAGGTGTATGGTTTGAACGACATGTGTCCGTTGAGCAGCGAGTCGTGCGGCATCGACCCCCAGAGCACCTCCGCCGTGGCCGTGGGCGTCGAGGTCATCGAGGCGGTATGGGAGACCGACGACGACAAGGAATCCGACAAGGTGAGTATCTTTCTTTGCATGGCCATTGCGAATGTGTGTGGATCTTCCTTGTGTGTGTGTGCAGGTGGTCAGGGTGACCCTTGAGTGATTGAGTGAGCGGATGGCTGGCCGGGATACGGTGTGTCGGTTGTGTGTATAGAGAGAGGATGAGAAGATGCATGGTCGTCGCTCGGTTCCATTCCCTTTTGGTGACCTTCTTATCCTCCTGTGCTGTGCGCGACGATGGCGCGTGCTGCACATGAGGATGGGGAGGCCGAGAAAAGGGGGAAGTGAGCTGTGTTGTGTGGCTTGGCCTGGCCTGGCGTGTGTGTGTGTGTGTGTGGATGGATGGATGGATGGATGGCCTTATGTGTTGTCGGTGTCTGATCGGCCTGCCTGATTTTTCGCACCCACCACGTAAACTACCTGTCACATGGGGTTTCAGAGGCAGAGAGGCCGTCTGCAGTGTGTGTCCGCATGAGACTAATTAGGTGCATGACGCCGACCCGATTTCCGTCTTTCTCCTATTGACGCGATGCGGCTCGATTCGATTCGTGTGACTTTAGCGGTCTGTCCGTTTGTCCGTTTGTTGTCTATGCGTCACACTAAGCCGTCCTTCGGTCCTCTTCTCAGTCTGCCTGCACACTATCTGCTCGCTGCACACACACAGAGGTGTCCATCTGACGCCTCTCTCTCTCTCTCTCTCTCTCCCCCCTTAAAACACACACGCACACACACACGCCTTACACGCATCCATCCATCAGGTGTGATCATCCGACGTTCTCTAACTGACCTAAGCTAACCGCCCTTATCAAACATAGCCCTAGCGGATGGTATAGTAATACTCCTCCGTCTCGGTCTTCATCTTCAAGGGGGCCATCTGCGGAATCTCCCCGTGGATCGTTGCGTTCGCCCCGGCTGGTGCCATGGGCGCCATGGTCGTGGTCGTGGTGGTGGTGGTGGTTGTCTTCTTGAGCAGCTTCATCTTCATGGGCGACATGGTCGTGGGGATGCTCGTGGGTGTGGGTGTGGGCTGCTGCGGCTGCTGCGGCTGCTGCGGGAGCGGCGCCATGGTCGTCATGACGCCAGCGGCCGACCAAGGCGCCATGGTCGTGGTTGTGGTGCTGGGTGGGATGAAGGAGCTCTGCTGGGCGTTCTGCATGTCTGTGTGTGCCGACGTCGATGTGGGTGCGGGTGCGGTAATCTGCTTGTGCTTGGGTTTGAGGCAGGTGAAGCGGACTCTGAAGAAGTCGACGTCCCGCCACTCGTCGCCGGGCGGCGCGCGGCAGACGGTCAGGGTGGGGGTCTTGGTGGGGACGCTGCTGCTGCCGATGCTCTTCTGCAGCAGAGAACAGACAGACAGACAGACAGACAGATGAGAGGGAGGGGGTGGTGGGGGGGCCGCCATGTCTGTCTCTCTCCGCCTCTCTGGGAATGGCCCATGTCTCTCTCTCTCTCTCCCTCTCTCTGTCTGTCTGTCTGTCTGCGTATTGCGTACGGGAGGGATAGAAGGAGAAGAAGAAGGAGGGATCATCCCCAGTCGGCCGCTGCGGTTGTCGTGGTAAGCGCATCGGCGAGTCACGCCGCCACCCACACCACCAACACCACCACCCACGCCCCCCTCGCAGAAGGAGGAGGAGGAGGACTGCCCGCTGGCCGGAGGCAGCAGCCGCAGGTGGGCCACGGTGTAGCCGTCGGCGTCAAGCTTCTCCGAATACAGCTGCACACACCACACCACAACACACAACATGGGGTTCCATCTCTTTTTGTCTTTTTCTCTCTCCATGTCCTCACATCGATTCTTTCGGCGTAGAGGGGTGTTTGGTCGGAAGCCCCCTCGGCCTCGCTATCGGCCTCGGCCTCAGCCGAGTTATCACTATTGGCCGCCGTGTTCAGCTGAGCTAGCGAATGGGCGGCGGGGGCAGGGCCAAACGACGATCGGCGGCCCAGAATCTGACACCCACACCCACACAAACGAATGTGTGTCTCACATGTGTGTGTTATGTCCCATTGGAACCTTACGTGGAACTTGTTAGTGGGGTCAGAGAACTGGTACGAGTAGTATCTGTGATCATGCTGCTGGGCCTGGCGCTGCGGCTGGTGCTGGTGCTGGTGCTGGTGGTGGACGGCGTACGGCTCGCTCCGGGCGGCGGGGTGGCGCCAGGCGTATGTGGGCATGGCCGAGCGCTGCGTCGACTTGGCTGAGGTCGCTGTAGTAGTAGTGGCGGTGTGGCAGCCGGCTGTCCCCTGCAGCCTACAACACACACCACACACACACCACACACACACACACAGAGAGAGAGAGAGAGAGAGTCCACTGCACTGCCTGCACTGCGTGTCGTGTGTTTGGCTGGCTCACTTGGTATTTGTTGATTTGGGTGTGTTGCATTTGGTAGTGTTGCATTTGGGGCCGACTGACACGCTGTCGGCCATGCAGAGAGTGGTGGAGGGGAAGTTGAGGCGCTCGAAGGTCTCTGGGAGAGAGATGGCATGGCCACAAGGGATGGAGGGATCTCTGTGTGTGTGTGCGTGTTGGGGGTGGTGGTGGGTGGCTTACGCGTGAGGAAGTAGTCCTTTTCGAACCTGTGACCACACACACACATACCCACACAAGAAGAAGACACACATACACTCGCGACACGTGTGTTGGCTCATGGATCCATGTGTGTGTGTGTGTGAGCGTGGTTTCCTTCCCTACTCAATCTTGACTCGAGGGGAGCACTTGCAGCCGTCCTTATCCGTATCCCCGCACCCAGCCATGCAGCCTACACAGAGGATTCCATTGCATATGTGTGTGTGTGTGTATGCCGTGTGTTGTGTGTGGGGGGGGTCTCAGCAGGCGAACCTTCCCCCTCGCCGCAGCTGTGTTCGGCGTGTCCTTCGTCGGCGTGCTGCTGCGGCGGCTCTGCGAAATATGAGTCAAACTCATCTGCACTCTCCATCCCTTCAACACACACACACACCATCAACACACATACACACACATCTCTCTCTTTCTCCCTCTCCCTCTCCCTCTCCCTCTGTGTGTGCGTGTGTGTGTTTGCCCACCCACCAGATGTGTGTGTGTGTGCGGTGTGGTGGGCCTCGTCCACTTGCATCAGGGATATGGGGTCGTCGTCATTGTCCTCCTCCAGCAGCAGCGCCTCCTTGTACCCCTCCATCTCCCCCGCCACAGCCCCCACCTCTCCCTCGTGTGTCCGTGTCTGTGTGCTGTTGTGCGTGTTGTTGTGTGCGTGTGCGGTGTGGTGGCCCTCGTCCAGCTGCATCAGCTCGACGTCCTCCTCCAGACGCTCACTGTAGTCGTCCCCAGAGGCCTCTGTGTGCGTGTTGGTGGTCTCACGGCGGAGGATGTTGCGGCCCTCCTCGGCAAAAGAGGCCGCTGCCACCTGCTGCACACACACACACACGTCAAGGAGAGAAAATCCCGTGTGTGTGTGTGTGTGTGTGTCGCGGCCATCGCCGGCCACCTGGTTGGGCTTGGTGTGACCGCCGTCGCTTATTTTGATGGGCGCCAAAGCGGGGACCGTTGAGGCGTTCTGCTGCAGAGGGAAAGGCTGATGGGGGAGGGGCTCGGCCTTGTTCTGAGGAGGTCTCTCTGCGGCGCCTGCAACATCCACCATCCATCCATTCATCCATCCATCCATCCATATCTCTCCCTCCCTCCCTCCCTCTCAGCAGTTGCTCACCATCTGCAACGATCCCGTCTGTGTTGTCCTGTGTGGTGTGGTGGGACTCGTGGATCTGCATCAGCTCCACAATGGGGTCGTCATCCTCCTCCTCCCGGTCCTCCGCCTCCGCCAAGTGGTCGCTGTAGCTATCGGCATAAGTCGACCCCGCCGCCGCTGGTGGTGGTGGTGCATCTGCACGGCCCTCAGCTGTGTGGGTGTTGGTGTTGCTCTCACGGCCGCGGAGGATGTTGTGGTGGCCCCCCTGGACAAACGACGACGACACTACCTGCTGCAACACCACCGCACAATTCACCGCACAACATCACCACCGTGACGGAGATCACATGGTTTTTGTGTGTCGGGAGCAGCTGTGCTGACCTGGTCCTTCTTATCTTCGTGGGTCCGCACGACGGCGTCCCGCGATGTGCCTTCCACCGCAACCTGCACACAGCAGAGCGCACAACACACCGCACCACAGCGAGATGGATGGATGGATGGGCAGATCTACGGCCGAATCTGCCGTTCTGTGCCATCCAATGGAAGATCTGACGGAAGGAAGCCGCCCGACCGCCGCCCGCCGCCCACAGCCACACCACACGAGCGCACCTGTGCCAGCGTGGCCTGAAGGCCCAGGAGGGCGATGAACACGACGCTGGAGATCATCGTCTGCCTGTTGCCGTCCGTTTTTGGAGAGATATCGCGGAAAGAAGCCTTTTTGCTGGAAACTCCTTGTGTGTTGGCCAAGAAAATGGACAAAAAACCCTACCCTAAACCCTGAAACCCTAGAGATCTGCTCCCATCACAACACAGACAACAATAATGCAGCTGCCTGCGCTTGCCGCGGTGGTGCCAGTGCTGCTGGTGTCGCTGATCTCCGCCTTCACGCCCCCTCTCCCCTCCCGCACAAGCCTCATGCAGCGGCTGCTGTCCACCTCTACCTCTACAAGCAGCCGGCGAGATGCGCACAGGGGCGAGGTGTCCTCACTGTGGGTGCCTCCCACAATGGATGAGCCGCCTGGTGCGTCGATGGGAGGGGGGGAGGGGCAAGACAGCCGATGTAGTGAGTGCATTGCCTCTCTGTGTATGTGTTTTGTTCTGTTTTGTTGTGTGCAGCGGTGCCGCCAAACACCCCCGGGCGGCCGGGGCAGCCGCTGCCTGTGGTGATGCCGACTGTGGACGAGGGCAGGATGGATGTCGTCTCGCGGCTCCTCAAGGACAGAGTGCTGCTCCTCGGCAACCAGGTCAGTCACTCAAGGAGTGAATAATGGTGGGTCAGCAGGGGAGATCCTTAGGTGTGATGGGATTGATGTGTTGTGTGCAGGTGACTGACGAGGTGGCCAACGCGTTGGTGGCGCAGATGCTGTTTTTGGCCAACGAAGACCCCACAAAGGACATCAAGTTCTACATCAACAGCCCGGGGGGCTCCGTCACGGCCGGTTTAGCCATTTTCGACACCATGCAGTTCGTCCCCTGTGACGTCGAGACGGTCTGCTTCGGGATTGCGGCGAGTATGGGGGCCTTCTTGCTGAGCGCCGGCACCAAGGGCAAGCGGAAGAGTCTCCCCAACGCCAGAATCATGATCCACCAGCCACTGGGCGGCGCCCAGGGACAGGCCGCCGACATCGAGATTCAGGCCAAGGAAATCCTCTACACAAGACAGCTCCTCAACACTTACATGGCCGCCTTCACAAGCCAGCCGCTCGACAAAATCGCGGTGAGTGCACCGAGTGCTGAGGACCGTTTTCTTGCTGCGTGCATCTCTCTCTCTGTCTCTGTGTGTGTGTGTGTGTGTCATTGTGACTGTTACTAATCAGGAGGACTGCGACCGTGACTTCTTCATGTCGCCCGACGAGGCGCGAGAGTACGGCCTCATCGACCAGGTCATCCCCACCAAAGTGTCCCACATCAGAATCCCACCAATGCCCACACTCGTCTAGTCTAGCCCAGGCAGACAGACAGGCGGCTGGCTGGCTGGTGGGTGGGGGGAGGGACCAGTCAACTGAGTGAGTGCGCGCCAACGGCGCCCTCTGTGCTCTATTGTTGTGTCGGCTGTGTGTGTGTGTGGGTGTGTGTGTGTGGGTGGCTTATGTGCTTTGGGCCGAGAGACGGAGAGGTACATGACTTTTTTGGCACTGTTAATCAGATAGACTGACTTGACTGCATGTCGTGTGTGGGCGTGTTGACTGCTGACGCCTTCATCATCAATGGATCAAGATGCTTCCCCATCGCTCAGTGTATGCCTCACTTACTAGCAAAAGACACACGCATCCGTTCATCCGTCCATCCAGCGGCCCACTGTGTTTTTCCTTCCATCTCGCGGTCACAAGAGAGCCTTCTCACGTCAGGGGTGAGAGTGCACTGATGTCGCCGGTCGACGGAAGGCCAAACACAGCCGGCCGTCGAGCCACAACGACAAACTCAAAATCACTCACACATACACTCGCCAGTCCTGCAGGTCGGATCACTACTACTTGTTCTGTGTGGGCAGCGGCGGGGCGATCTCCTTCATGGCGGCAGTCAGCGACGGCAGCTTCGAGTACGGCACCACATACACCTGCCGCACCAACCAGCCAACAGAGACAAACAACACACCCGTGTCTGTGTCGGTGTGTGTGTGACGACCAACGCAAGCCATTCAGGCACCTACCAGTTTGTACTCTGGGAAGGACTGCGATGCACCGGCACTCTCGCGAGACGTCATGCGAACCTGAGAGACACACATGAATAACACAACACACGCCACACACACATGTTTGCCCTCTCCATGACTAACCGATTTGCTGGTGGGGAATTCGAATGTCAGCGTCGCGTTCTTGACAAACACCTCGTCCTCAAACTTGACGTACACCGCATCACCACCACCACCACCACTACTGCCACTCCCATCTGCCGTGTCTGTCTTCTGCCGTTTTTTCTTCTTCTTGCCCTTCGGCGCCCCACCAGCAGCACCACCACCAGCAGTGGGGTCACGGTAGAACCTGATTGTTGACACAGGCAGCACAGAGAGATGGATGGGCTTTTGTCTCTCTCTGTGTGTGAGCGTGTGTGTGCTGTGGCTGACTTCGAGATGCCGACGAAGTGGGTGAAGTGGTAGTGCTGCTTTTCGTCCTCGGGGCACTCCTGTGTGCACACACACACACACATCCATCCAGACACACGCAATGCACATTCCCTTCCCTCCCTCTCTCTCCCTCTCTCTCTCTCTGACAGACCGGCGTCTCAAGCGACCACTTGACGTCGTCCCACATGGTTTGGTAGAGGGGCGGGATCAGCGAGGGCGGCAAGTTGATGTACCGCTCGTTGACCAAAAGACCCACACACGCCTTCTTGCCGCCCTCATAGGTCGGACTTGACGGCTTCAGGAGGCCATCTGAGAGAGAGAAAGAGAGAGAGATGTGGCAGTTGTTCGCTGCAAGGAAACGGGCTGTGGGCGGTGCGCACCGAGTGTCGCTTGGTCTTCGGCTGATGCGTGCTTCCTGACACACACAGGGAGAGCGCCAGCAGAGAGCACCACACAAGTGACTGATGGTGCACGCGTGTGAGTGTGGGTGTGCCTGTGTGCCTACTTGGCCTTTTCCAGGATGTAGCTGCGGATCTGCTTGAGGCAGCCAAATGTCTGCACAGATGACACACACACACACACACACACACAGAGAGAGAGAGAGAGAGAGAAGATAAAGAGCCCGTCGTACATGTGCTTCGTGATCTGACTGACGTCTTGGTACTGCTGGAAGTTGAGCAGCGTCAGCACGCCACACAGGGCCGCATCGTCGTCGTCATCACCCTCACCACCTTGCCCCTCCCCGTCCTTCCCGCTGTCAGCCTTGATGATCGACCCGATATTCCCCTGCCAATCACATGATGGACATGAGCACATGTGCGTGTGTCGTGTCGTCCTGTCGTGTGTGTGCCCACCTGTTCGCATACACACTGTGCGAGTTGCGAGAGGTTGAAGTTCTTGGACAGCTGCCACTCGTGCAGCAACAGCTTCACCCTGCACCATGAACCACACACAGGCAGTCACATGACATGAGACCCACTGCCTGTGTGTATGGTATGGGCCACATCACATGGGCCCAATAGTGTACCCCTGGAAGTCGCCTTCGCTCGGGTCGCAGAAGTCAAACTCGGCGTTGAGCGTGTCCTGCACACACACATCCAGCCACACAGCCACCAGCCACACACCCGTCCAAGCAACAAAAGCGATCTGAGCCACTCATTCATCCATCCCCCCTTACGAAGTCTGCTTCCTCCTTTTCATCTCCCTCTGCCTCTTCATCCTCCCCCTCATTCTCGTCATCTTCATCGTCGTCTTGTTCCACCGCCCGCCGCTGATCCCTCTCCGCCCGCAGCAAGTCGATCTCGCCAATCTCATCCTCATCCTCATCCTCATCTTCGTCTTCATCATTCTCGTCTTCTCGTGCTCTCCTCTCTGTCCCCACGTCTGCATCTCTTTGCCGCTTCTTGGCTGTGGTTGTGGAGGTCAGCATGGCGTCGGTCACCGTGTTGTCGTTGTCAGCGACTGATGCAGCGGCGGCCTTGCTAGATCGTTGTTTCTCGCTCATCGGGAGCGAAGCGCTTCCAAGCTCGCAACAGGCCGCCCAGGGTGCTCCCTGAGACCGCTGCTGCCGGAGGAGCTGGTCTGAGCATCGAACGAGGTGAGCAGCACACAGATCTGTGAGTGAGCAGCATGCTTGATGGACACAATCCTCTGTCGGCTCTGTCGCTCTGTGCAGCCTCTCTCTCGTCGACCACCGCCTCACTCATCTGACCGTCTTGGCCCATCTGGACATCCCATGCAGCACCACGAGCAGCAGCAGCAGCACCCCGTGTCATACCTGTGTGTGGGCCGGAGGAGCCGCTACCTCCTCAGCGTCAAGGACGTCGTGCGGCTGAGGGCCACCTGCACCTGGCTCAGGAAGCTCTTCGGAGCGGCCCAGCTGAGAGATCGGCTCCGCCACTCGCTGGGCTCACAGGCGGGGCTGCGGCGGGCGAATGTGAATGGGCAGCAAGTGCGGCTGCTGCGGTTCGAGCCGACCAGTTCGGCACACATGATCTGTTGGCGGCTGTGTGTGTGGTGGAGGAGGGGCCATGGGGCGAGATGGGCGACGTGATTGAGCTGGCGGGGCAGTGCGGCAACTGTGAGCTGCCTGTGACCCTCAGTGGGGCTGACATCAACGCACACACAAACAAAACGGTGAGCCGGCAAACAGACGGGCGGGGAGGGGAGGGAGAGGGCCTCACTCTCTCTGTCTCTCTGTCTGTCTGTGTGTGGTCGTGTGTGTAGGCGTATGTTTCGGCTCCCCGTGTGTTGGCGCAGCTCAAGATGGTCGGCCCCCACATCCACTTCAGTGACGGCAGCTGCCTGCAGCTGTTCCAGCACGGCAACGGTGAGGTGCGAACCATCGTCGACGAGCCCGGCTTCGAGCTGCAGGTCGACCCGCCCCTCCCTGCCGGCGACCTGTCCCGGCGGCACCGGCAGCCACACGACCCACCGGTGCGCAGCCGCATGTACTATTCGACCGATGGGTGGGTATCGAGCGGTGGCCTGGGGATCGCCGAGGCGTCTGTTTCATCGTTCGCCAAGCTCAATATCCTCAGCGTCTTCACCAATACTCACCAGACCAATGTCACAACGACTCTACTCAACAGGTACCAACCCAATGTCATCAAATGCGTCGAAACGGGAATACCACAAGTCGTTTGTTGATGTGGTTGGTTCAGAGCTGTTGGTGGCGGTCGTCTGGACGACCTACTGATGCAGTCCCCACACACACCGGTGGCCGGCTGCACGACCACACTGAGCCGGGACATTTATGGGCGCTGGCTGGTGCTGAGCGATGGCAGCCACCCCTTCGTCGCATTGATTGATATTCGGCACTTGTGCCTAGGAAATAACATCGGTCAGCGTGACAGAGGGAGGGAGTTCTGCTAGTCATACGTCGCATGTTGTTGTTCCCTTGTGTGTAGTGGACGTGCGTGTCGTGACGACTGAGGCGGCTGCATGTGTGGGTGGTCTGTTCAAGCACCGCTTCCCCGTCACCACTCAGTTGGCTCGCGTGGCGTTGGGGGCGGTGGCGCCGTTCATATTCGACGGACCAGTGCCACAGCAGCAGCACCAGCAGCAGCACCAGCAGCAGCAGCAACAGCAAGATGACGACAGCGACGATGGTAAACACTTGGATGGATGGATGGATGGAAGATGTGCCTTCCCGCTGTGTGTGTGTGGCGTTTAGATTTCGACGATGGCAGCGGCAATGAGGGTGACGGTGTGGATGACGGCAGTGGAGGTACACAGTCACACACACCCCAGCCCTCACGTGGACCTGCCTCACATTCATTTGTGTGTGTGTGTGTGCCTTGGGCAGGTGACGGTGTCGCAGCTGAGGCGGAGGGCGGCGGCACGTCCGGCGGCTGATCGATCTGTCAAATGGGGTACGCCACAGACACTCCACTCGCAAAGTCGATCCATGCCTTCCGTCATGCAGTTGTGTGCGTGTCTGTCGTCAGGATGGTGAAGGGAGTGCTGGCTGTCGTTATTCCTTTCTGTAGCGGATCTGTTTCTTCAAGATACAGCGCATACCACTCCCTCCCCCTGTCTGTGTGTGTATGAAGAGATATCCGCCCGTCGTCATGGCTGGCTGCCTGTGGGTGTGAGTGCCTGTGGTGCGATCCGATCGGCTGCTGGCCGATTTGATGTGATGCCCTGGCCGATGTGTGAGAGTGTTTGGCTGTGTGGCTGACTCACCTGCCGGCCATAACTCTCTCGAGGTGACTGTACGGTGGAGTGTGTGTACCTGGCAGACCTCTCTCTCAATCATTGTTTAAGTCATGGCAAAGTGAGCTCACATTTGCGTGAGCGGCATCTTTCCTTCCATGTAGCTAGGCAAGACGGCACTCACACGAGATTACAGTGCAGGCGACTGCAGCGATATCCATCCATCAATCCACCGATGTGTATACGTCAGTATGTGTGCACACGGGAGAGTCAACATGTCTCCAACAAAGGCTTCACAACCGACACAAGATGTGACACCTCCAGGCAATCGGCGCGTGACAAAAGCTTCTATGAGACAGACAAGACACACCCACAACTGACCGACCAATTGTGGCTCCTTTCCGTGTCTTGTTTGTCGTCAACAGGATGGGCAGCCTAGAACGGGTGGGAGTGAGTGGGAGACAGTGTTGAAATGTACTTGAAGGCCCGCCTTGATGCAGTGCTTCATCGCTGGTGGTCCGCCTCCCGTCAGCTGCCACCAGTTCTCCAGCCGCCCTCTGTGTACAGCCGCAGAAACACAGACGCCATCCCCGCAGCAAATATTATCCAGGTACCAGACAACCATGGATGGATCGATGGATGGATATCGATCGGCTCTCAGATACAGCAGCTGACAGAGCACACTCAGTACACTCAGTACTGTACACCGATGCGCCTCCCAAAATCGTAACGAGCGCCAAGTGCCGTCCGCAAATGTGCCTCCTGTTCGTTGGCCGATGCCTGCTGGCGCCTCATCGATCCATTGCGGCCGCCGCCAGGATTCCTCTCTGCTGCCGTTCCTCGCCATTTCTGCCTCATCCTGTGATTTCATCGATGCAGGCGGGCCTCGCTGTCGCCTCTCGTCATCTATCGGGCTCCCACCGGTCCCCTGCCTCTGCTGCCAGCGCGTCCTCTCCCTTCGCCACCCAATTCCAGCAGCTTGTGCATCGACGGCTCCTCTCAAGCCCTGCTGCTGACATTCTGCTCCAGCGATGGGAGAAGAAGAAACTGCGGCTCATCAGCAACTCGGGCGTTCAGTGTGTGATGGATCTGCTGAGGCGATGGTTTGAGGTGCAGAGGACGTATGAGAAGGCCCATACTGACCTTGCAGTGCGTTCCCTTGGCGTGTATGAAGATGTGTGGCTGCCGGTGCAAGTCAAGACCACCAAGAAGAAGAGCAGCAACTACGGTCGTGCTTGGCAGTTCCATCATGTCGATCAGTATGCCGGCATCCCCGTCGTCTGTGTGGCTCTCTCGGACTACCGCATCTGGTGCTACAGCGGATCCATGCTGAAGGAAGTATGCGGCAGGTCTGGTCTCCTTGCCGTCTATGAGAATGGCAAGTGGGACCATGCGAAATTCCGATGCTCGACGGCCCTTGATGGGCCGGCATCTCTGTCCCACAAGCTGCTGCTGGCCTATCAGGGCCCTTCATTCGCCAAGAACTCCCTGGCGAACATCATGCTGCAGCGGTCTGAGCGCCATCAGAAGGGCGAGGCATCCGTTGCCGCATGGGCCCCTTTGCTGTCTGCTGCTGGTATGGATGTCCGTCCACGCCAGCTCAGCTACGAGGACACGCCTGTCGACGCAGTCTGGTGCTGGAATGGCAGGAAGTTCCTCATTCAGCACAAACTAGCCGGCATTCGCACCGACCACACCAACGGCTCATATCTTGTTGTCCTTCACAAGAGCGCTGGCAAGGAGGGCGGACGTCGCACATATCGGCTGTATGATGAGGGAGACTTTGATCTGCTGGCCGTCTCGCTGCCCGGTGATCGCTTTTTCTATCTGATTCCCATGGCGGTGCTGGTGTAAAGGGGGAAGGTGAATGCACACGGGCAGAGACGTCAGTGCACTGGCTCATCTGTACGTATCTGGCCTCCAGAGGTCATGCAGAGACGCAGAGAGGAGAAGCGAGGCAAGGGCAGAGGAAGGATGGCTGACTTCTGGGCGAGTGAGTACATCATCGACACACACACGCTAGAGACAGGGGTGGGAAGGCTGTATGCTATCCTTGAGGGCCCCAAATGCTTGAAGTGACATGACATGACAGGTGCATGTCTGTGTGGCACAGTGTGTGCGTGCGTCTTTTTCAATGAATCCATATGTGTGCTTGTGAGAGGACAAGAAGCTGCCAGCATGTGGCCCCACCTTTCGTGTAGAGAGACACTCGACCACGGTCTAGCTATGCCACGCATTGATGCCCCCATCTGGCCACTCCCCCACCTACAGGCATCCAGTTTGCAAGTCACTGCAGAGCCAGCCACAGACAAAGACAGAGATCTCTTGTTGATGTGCCAACCACATTGCTGTCATGTAGACATCCGGCCGTCTGGCCATGTGTGTGTGTTGTGTTGTGTTGTGTTGTGTTGAGTGAGGTGTTTGTTGGACTGTTGGGTGTGGGGCGGTTTAGGTGGCTGCATGGAGGCCTTGTACGCATGTATGTGTGCGTGTGTTGGCATATACACACAAACAGACCTGAGTACACATATGCCGAAAGCGAGAACGGACCTGTTGATTGATATCGATCCATCTGTCTACCTGAGAGTCTGCCTGCCTGTCTGTCCAGCACCCGAACACTGTCTGCGATGCAACTATCGAGAGCCACCCACCCATCTATTGACCCATCCATCCAGCCAGCCACCAAGTGTTTTGTATGTATGTACACGCACCACACGCATCAGATCATCCTCCCACCTTCCACCCCCTCCCACGCCATCTTATCTGCTCTCGTTCTCCCTTCGTCCCTCCCTCCCTCTTAGTTGGTTGGTGGTTTGTCCAGCTGTTCGAATGAACCCCTCTAGCACCCCCTCAGCCGCAGGATGATATGCATCGTCGCGCCATCCTGCACGTTGTAGTCCGACAAGGTGCGACCATCCTCCAGCTGCCTGCAGGGACGCACACACAGGCAAATCACATCACATACACCATTCTGCGCCGCGCCCATCGTCCTGGACTCAGTCACCTGCCAGCGAAGATGAGCCGTTGCTCTTCGATCGGGGCGCCGTCGACACGCTCCACGCCGTCCTTGACGTCCGCTACCGTGGCATCTCGGCGGGCCCAGAGGTGGAAGGTCTTGCCTTCGAATGTCTTCATGATCAGCTGGATGTACTCACGGGCCTCGCTGCAAGAATGAGTGGCGCCCTCGCACGCACATGCGCTGAGTGTCTCTTCTCATGTGTACCGTGGCTGTGTGAAGACATAGTCGCCACGGTTGCGAGCGGCCGACTCCGACGCGCCACACACATATCCGACACCACTGCACACACACACCACACACACGCAGGCAGGCAGGCATCCACACAATCGCCATCGAGTGTGTTCTCCCTCTCCCACTCACCGGTGGTTGTATGTGTATCGGTATCCGTAGAGCTCTGCAAACTTGTCTAAGGCGGCCTGCCGGCGGCGCATCTTCAACTCGTCGCTGTCGTACTCGCCCATCGGGTCACTGCGTCAGGGTGAGGGAAAGAGCCACACACACCGATTCACTGTGTGATCTGTGTGGTGTTCTGTATGCGTGTGCGTACTGAGGAATGACGGGTTCGATGCCGACGATGCGCGAGAGCGACATGTACAGCACCGGATCGACCAGCACTGAGTGCCACACCTCGTCGATGTGGGCCGGCACCGACAGGCGGCAGCTGCGGTCGTTCTCAACACCCTTCTGCACACACACATCACGGCAGCAAACAGACGTACAATTGCTGCATCCACACGTGTGCGCTTGTGATTCATGGACCGACCAGCATCATGAAGAGTAGGAAGTCCCTCACAGCCGCTGCAGGCTCAGCCACAATGCCCTCCTGCGTGAGGCGGTAGATGACCTCGTGCCACTTGAGCACCATGAGCTCTTCCCACTGACCCACCAGATGCTATCAAAGGACACACACGACACACACAAGCCACGGAAACAGCCATCTTCCTCCTACTCCCTTTGTTGGTGGATGATGAGTGCGCTTCTGGCTGGGCTCACCTCTGGCAGGTCATGGTCGAGAGGCGCCACACGCCAACGATGCCCAGCCATCGTGAGGGAAACTGGAGGCGATCGCATTTTATGCGAGCTCAAAGGTGAGGGAAGCGTCTACGCGATCTGTCCATCTGAGCCTCCAGGAAGGTGAGGGACTCGAAGATCTCTAGGGAGCGTGCTTGAGGATTCATCCGCTGTCGCTTTGCTCCCATTTCTGTGCAGCATCTCCACTGAGGACGTCCGCTGCCGCCCATTCGTCATGTAAGGGCGCGTCAAAGGAGGACGCTCGCCCCCATTCATCTCTCACCCGATGTCTAACTGTCTGTCTGTCTGCCTGTCTGTCCCGCTTGCAGGTGCACACGAGCATTGCATCATGGGCAGTGAGTGAGGCGCCCCAGCAGTGAGGCGAATCGATGCCGCTGTACGACAACATTCTCAAGACGATTGGCCACACGCCGGTCGTGCGCCTTAACCGCCTGTCGCCGGCCGGCAGGACCATCTATGCAAAGGTCGAATCGTTCAACCCCTTCGCCTCAGGTGAGTGCAGTGAGTGACACTGATCGATGCATCTATCCATGCGTCTTGCTGTCCCCTGCTCTCTCTGTCTGTTCATTCAGTCAAGGACAGGCTTGCCATCGGTGAGCAATGGTCCCGCCGCCAGCCCGCTGTACACATGCATACGCGTCGATTGCGTGTGGTGCTTTGTTTATATAGGGATAATCGAGGATGCGGAAAGGAGAGGGCTGCTGCGGCCCGGGCAGGTGGTGTGCGAAGCCACCAGGTCAGCCAGCGCTGACGTCAGTCAGACAAAGGAAGGCTGCAGATTACGGTATTCACTCTTCCCACCCCTGTGTGTCCACCCACCCACCCAGTGGCAACACAGGTAGGAGGGAGGGACCGAGGGAGGAAGTGGTACACTGCATCGCAATGAATGTCTGTCTGTCGTCAGGCATATCGTTGGCGGCCGTTTGTGCCGTCAAGGGCCACCCCTTTGTGGCCGTCATGGGCGAGCAGTTCAGCGTCGAGAGGCGAAAGCTAATGCAGTTCTATGGCGCCAAAGTCGTCCTTACGCCGAGCGAGCTGCGGGGAACCGGCATGGTGAGGGAAGGAGCACGAAATAGACAGATAGACCGATGGATCAACGAAGCACTGCTGCTCGTTCGGACAGGTGCAAAAGGCAGAGGAGCTTGCGCAGCGATTTGGGTGGTTTCTCCCAAGGCAGGTCGGTGAGCAGATGGACGAGTGACCATGACTGAGAGGTGCGCATGTGTCTGTGCGTCCCTCTCTGTCTTTTTTGCTGATGGTGTTCAGTTTGACAACGAAGCCAACCCCACTTATCATCGCCAGACGACCGGCCCAGAGGTGCTGGCCGACTTTGTCGGTGAGTGAGTGAGTGAGGGAGCAATTCAATCCCATAAGGCTATCGGTTGCCGGCTGTTGCCTGACTGGCGTTGTGTGTGTGTGTGTGTGTGTGTGTGCGTTGGTTGCAGGGGAGCGGCTGGATTGCTTTGTGCTTGGCTGGGGGACGGGCGGCACAATCACGGGGGCCGGCTCCGTGATCAAGGTATCCACCCCTGCGTCGATCTATCCGACCACTTCACACACACACACGCTCCCTCTCTCTCTCCCTCTCTCTCTGTGTGTGTGCGTGTTTATGTGTGTGTGGATGGCCTCATCCATTCAGTTGGCACGGCCAGATGTGAAGGCACGCTTACCAAAGAAACGCTGCTCGCGGATTGAGTGACATGCACATGCCAGTGGTTGGTTGTGTCCTGTGTTCAACCAAACAGGTGGTTGCCGTGGAGCCGCAAAAAGGTGCCCTGCTGTCTGGGCAAGATTGGTCACCTCACAAGATACAGGGTGAGCAGCTATGGGTGGGAGCACATCCATCACACAACACAACACTACACACCACACCCCATCAAGCGATTGTACGTGTCGTGTGCAGGTTGGTCCCCTGACTTCTTGCCTGACGTACGCCTGTATTCATGTGTCACATTCCTCCCTCCCTCCCTGTCTGTCTGTCTGTCTGTGTCTGCAGATCCTCCACCGCCACCGTGACGACATTGATGAGGTTCTGACGGTGACCGACGAGGAGGCCATCGAGACGGCTCGACTGCTTGCGCGAGAGGAGGGCATCGCCACGGGGATATCTGGAGGCGGGTCGGTTGCCGGTGCGGTCAAATGTGCAAAGGCAGCGGCTGACGGAGCGGCTGTCGTGTGTGTCGTCGCCGACACCGCGGAGCGCTATCTTTCGACTGTTCTATTCGGTGAGGGGAGGGGAGGGGAAGCCAGCCAGACAGAGAGATTTTTGTCTTCCCTCCGCTTGCCTGTCTGTCTGTCTGTCTGTGGTGCAGAGGGTATGGAAGAAGGCATCGTTCAAGATGAGGAGGAGCTGGCCAACCTGTGACGAAGGAAGAACGGCCTTTGCCTTTCTAAGCTTGTCTGCCTGCGTCGGGCTGCCTTTTTGAAGCCCAACTGGCCTGGTTAAGTGACAGACAGTGATCTGGCTCGATGCGATTTGGTTGGTCCTGCGAGCGGAAATGCATCATCTTTTCCCTTTTTTTGAGGGACAACGATCTGCGTCGATTTCTAACGGCATACGTATGTGTGTATACTAAGTAGCCGGGCTGCTGGTTGGGTTATACGCGTGTGCATATCCGAGACATCGATGCGATGATGCTATATCTGGCCAAATGTCGTCAAAGTCGCATAGATGGCCCAATGTATGTCGTCAAAGTCCCATTCCAACACATACACACACTCACATCACTCACTCATCACACATTCGGATATCTGCCCCCCTTCCTTTCTGAGGGTCCCGAGGACTCGTCGGGCCTCTGTGATCTCAGGATGCTCTTGAGGGTGGCGGCCCCTCTTTCTGCTGCGTGGTGCTCCTCAGCCGCCGCCCCTGCAGCTGCCCCGGTGGCCCTCGCAATCGATGTAAGTGAGGGGACGGCCTGCTGCTTGAACACTCGGGCATCACTAGCCGGGACAGCTGTTCGTTGAGGAATGTGACCTCGGCGATGAGGTGGGTGATGATCTGGCGCACCTCATTCACTTGTGGATTGGTCTCCTCCTCCTATTTAAAGATACACACGACACACAAAGAGAGAAGGTCTCGATTGTGTCCCGGCCTGTCTGTCTGTACCCACCTCTTGCTCAGGCTGCTCGTCTTCAGGCACGGCGGGCAAGACGCCCTCCACCATCGGCACGAAGGTCATGTCCTCCATCTGCAACAAACAGGTGTCTCGCCCGCGTGTTTGTGCGTCTCATGTTAGTGGGAAAAAAGGGTCGCATTGCCACAAATCGTTCGTGGCTGCAGTGCGTACCTTTTGTTGGTAGTTCTTTTTGGCCTTGACGATTCTGAGGAAGCGACGAAGGTTTTTGACAAATGTCCTGACACACAGACAGACAGGAACAGAGAGAAAGGAGAGATACAAATCAATCATCTTTGGGTTTCTTGTCCCCTTTGCTCGCTGACTGACTCGGTGTCGTCTTCGTTTCCGTCGAATGTCTCGACCAGCTCCCACCACACCATCTCCTCCTTGCCAGAGCTGAGGGAGGACAATCACACACACGCACACACACACGCACAGACAGATGGATGGATGGATGGATGTGTGGGTGGGTGGACATGCTTCCGTGTGTGGTGGTAAGCTCACACGATGTCTCCCTGCACCCTGGTCCACACTTTGTCCAAATTGAACTTATTTAGAGACGCTGACCACCACACACACACACACACACATGACAGACAAGAGAAAGCCGCCATCCGTCTCTGCACGTGTATGTGTGGCTGATTACACACATTTGAGGTTCTCGTGTGCCTGATAGAGATCTGGGTCCGTCTTGATGGCGTCAAGCTTGGCCTCGGCGTTGCGCCACTGAAACTTCTTCTCCTGTTTTGGGTGGAGCGAATCGGTGTGTTTGGCAGCAGACATGCACGTACCCATTTACCTTTGACGAGTCGAAGAGCGTCTGTATTCGGTAGATGTAGATGAGAAAGTTGTTGACCAGCTCGTATGTGCTCCCTGCAGCACTGAGCATCAGCGCGAAGACGACATTGCATGGAGAGATGGAGACGTCTGCGTGCTTTTTCCGTTGACCGGCTTTCTCTGACGCCTCCTGGACTTTCGTCATTCGGCTGCGTGTGTCTTGATAGGCGTCGGTGAGGATGGCCACAAACACATTGGTCAGCACCTGAGAATGGAAAGAAAGAGAGAGGGGGTGGAGAGAGAAGTGTACTTGCTAGGCGTCGTTGTGTCTCTTTCGTGCACAGACCAGTGAGACAATGATGATGTAGGCAACGGTGAAGATGATGGCCAGGTTGGGGGCTGCTATCTGAGACACGCACAAACACAGCCAGGACAGCTCACACGGCCCATTTCTCTCGATCTCCCTCTCTGAGCAACGACACGACGCACCTTGAACGGCTGGTAGTCCAAGTCGCCAGACATACCTATTTGAAAGATCGACACACACACCATCAGCATCGACCCTGGCTCCATTATTGACTCATTGTCTTACTTCTGAGTAGAGTCGAGAAGGACGCGCCGAAGTTGTGCCACGACTGCACGCGGAAGCCGAACAGCCAGTGGCCCGCAAAGGTGAAGCCGATCGTCACTAATGTGAGCACAACCTACACACAACAGAGGGAGAGAGAAGAGAGACATGGAGCAAGTAGGGAAAAACAGCGAAAGGTGACCATGAAGGGGATGATGTCTCTTCCAGCGGCCGAGAGCACGTCCCACAGAAGACTCATCCGCTTGTTGATCTGCAGGTACTTGAACAACTGCCATACAGGGGGAGACGTGGGCACAAAACATCAAGCGGATTGACGTGTTGTGTTGTGGTGTGTGCGGACCGTGACGACAGCAACGACCATATTCCACGCTGCACAGGTGGCGATGAAGTTGAAGATCCGCATCATGTGCAGCATGTCGAAATACTCAGCTGCACACACATACACAGACACACATCTCTGGCACCCACACTCCATCCGTCCTTGCCTACGCACCAGAAGGCTCTCTGAACTTCTCCTTGCCAATGAGCAAAAAGCGAGACCAATAGACAATGGAGGTGATGTAGAGGCTCAGGTTGACCAGCTCGATCAAATTCCAAAACGACCTGTGTGTCTCACGTCACGCCGTGTGGCCATTTGTGGCCGTGGGTCTCTTTGCTCTGTTACCCGAAATAAGCCAGACGTTGTGAAATGAGATTCTTGAAGACAGCTCGAGTGTACATCAGAAGACCTGCACACCGACAACCAAGCAGAGACATGGCACCAAATGCTCGTGCTCACTCACCTAGCAGCCAGGCTATCTCACACGAGAACCGAAACTTGTCGGTTTTCGACGCCTGATTGTAGGGATTCAGACGCGCAGAGTACATCTGCACAGACACACAGAGACACGGACACAGAGAGACACATGTGCCTTTCCGGACTCCCGGGCAGACCTACTTTGACAGAGGAGTGAATGCGTCCCGACGCGCCGATGTCGATCTGGAATCGGATGTATGTGCTGATGTCAAAGTTGGCGTTGTAGAAGTTCATCTCGACTGACAGGGCGCGGGTGTGCCTGTCGATCCATCCCGACTTCTGCATCTCCGCCAGCACACGACACACACGCTGATCTGAGACACAGGATAAGTAGGCAATACGTCTGTTGTGCCCGGCTGACTTACTTCCATCGAGTTTGAAGAAGTTGTATCTGGTCATGTTGAATGGCCACTCGCGGGGGTCCGCAGTGCCCGTGATGTAGATCGGGTCACACTGCATCCATCGATCCATACAGACATCCCTCTGCAGTGTGTCTCTCCCTCCATCTCTGCCATTCTCTGTGTGCCCACTCACATACGCATACCGTCAGCGGCACATCGACAAGGTGCGCTTTGCCGCCATACGGCTTGCCGTACCCCTCCTCGCCCCTGAACCAAGACAAGCACCACTTCCAACCACACCGCATTTTGGCGATAGACATCGTCACTCACTTGATGCCTGAGAGACCCGTTTTGAAGTCGCACCAAAGCCTCGCCGAACCCATTGGCTGACGTACACGAGACACGGGCACATCGAGGACGGCCTGTCTGTATGTGAGGGCTCTCTATATCCCATTGCACTCACGGAATGAGTCTCGCCACAGTTCTGGTTCTTCCGTTTGGGGGATCTTGCTCGTGTCTTGCCGAGGCTTGCTGAAGTCAGGCTGCGTGTGGGATATGGGGAAAAAGACACACAGGTTCATGCATCATCCATCCATCCCTACATAGCATGGCCTTGCGAGCCTTGTGGCACTCAGAGGCACACTGCACCCTGTGCTGTTGGCAACGACCCTGACACACACAGAGAGAAAAGGAGAGATGGCAGCTGCCATGTTGCATTGGGCCTCTGTCCTTACCTGGCTTGTCTGAATCTGACTGGGGACATGATACGGTTGTATTGGCGCACGAACACCCCCCGTGTAGTTGGGTCCTCCCCCGGGAGCAGTACAAAGACCGACGGCGTCAGCAGGAAGTGAATCCAATCCCACATGTCCTCTGCACGCACCCCAGGCACAACCTTGTGTTTGTGTGTATGTACACTGTGTGAGACTGCTGACCGACCGACTGTGCCCATCCCAAAGTAGTTTTTGTTGAAGGGCACGGGCAGGTTGTCCTGGCAGAAATGATCCAGCAGCGAATCTTGCACCAGAAACATCTGGGGCACCTGTCCACACGCGCAGAGAGAGACAGTCATGGAAGAGGGAGCCGCGCGCCTCCAACACGCCTACTTGTCTATTGTACAGGATGATGATGGCAAACATGGACACGAAGATGCCATAAGCAATCAGCAACACCACATAGCGCTTCGTGTTCAGCCCGCTGACAAGGTTGTACAGCCCACCCAAGCTCACTCTGAAAGGGGAGACAGCGAGAGAGAAAGACGAGAAAAATCAACCATACTGGCATCTGCATTCGTCCACTGATGCGCTTTCCCGTATGTATGGACGTCCTCATCTCTCTCCTGAGCCGCCTGCACCGTGTCGAACAGCTGCACGTCCAGACCCGGCGCCGTCTCATCCTTGCCAGTGGCGCCAGCAGCTGCGGCGGCCACCGAACGGTCCGACGCTGCCCTGTACGCCTCTTCTCGGCTCTCCGCCATCCTCTCGAAAATTGTGAGCTAGGCTTGCGGCCCCCAGCGTCGAGTTTTTTTCGCGAGCTGAGACGGCGACGAGACGTGCCTTTTTTTATTGTCATGCAGGACTTCAAAATCGGCAGCGCCTCCATTCTCTCAGATGATGCGTCTTAATTTCTGTCCTGTGAAGCCTGGCAGTGCACACTTTTCGACTTGAGAGATGAAGGTCTGGATTGAGCATTGGGTGGTCGGTTATCCGAGCGCGCGCACTCTGGAGAGCTTGCGCTGGGAACGGGACGTGAGGCTGTGGTGGGGACAACATCGGACCGCCAGCGTGGGATTTTCGCTCCCACGAGATTGATTTCTATGATGGTGACGCCGCCATACCTGTGAGGTGAGTATACATGTAAGTGAAAGAGCGTCTTTCTGCGCGAGTGCGTGTGTATTGCGGTTGTATGTGTGTCTGTTTGTGGACAGAGAATACAACATCCCCCGTCAGAGGTCTTTCCTGGTCGATTGGGAGGCATACGAAACCGTCCCATCAAGCTCGAACCCCGGCGTACGCACGCATTTGCGGAAAAAGAGCATCGAAACCGCCTTGTGTGTACTGTAGGGCGACGTGGGCAGCAGCTTCTATGCCTTGCTGAAGGGCAGCGCAGCCCAGGTGCTCGACAAGGTGTATCTGGAAGTGCGAGATAGAATAGACCTGATGCCCTACGTAGATCCCACCAGCCCTTTCACTTCTACTATGGCATCTTCCTTCGTCTCTCAGAACGTACGAACGACCGAATCGTTTCAGACCGAAACTTCTTTTTACTGCTTTCCGTCTCTGTTCTGTCTGCAGCTCTCCATGAAGGAACTGGCCGACCAGACCTTCTCCAAGAGGGCGTGCTTCTACGAGGGGTAGTCGCGCGAGGAGCCCAGCAGCGACGACCGTGAATGTCCAGGCATCTGATAGTGGTACGTGTGCTGCCGACTGTCTTGATGTAGTCGTGTTGCAGGAGAGAGTGGGGCCGTAGCAACGACGGCAGGTCAAGCCTGACGCAGCATTTCACTACACGCAGCAAGGAGTTCGACGTCAGGCTCGAGCGGGCAGTTCGGGTGGATAAAGTCTGCTCTATCGGCGGTGGGCCTCAGCACGAGGCAGCCACGAGAAAGCCAAAAGGGCCTTGCCAGGGAGGAGCCAGAGAAGGCGAAAAAGCACAGAACAACAGGGTAGGAGGAGCTGATTTCCTCCTGAGCAAGGAGCTGCACACCTTCTTGAACGCGTACAGGTAGGACTGAAGACACAGTATGAGAACACGCACATTCGTTCTTATCCTTTCCACGAGCGACGAGCTATTTAAGGACAGACAATCGCAAAGGCAGACAGGGAGACAAGGAGAAAGGCCTGCTGTCTTGTTGGCCGTTCTTCCAGCCCCTGATTGAGATCAAGAAGACGGTCATCCGCGAGACGCTGGGCCACGAGTATTGAGACCGCCTCTCATCCGGCGCCGCCCGACTGGGTGACGAGACCGCTGACGATTATCAGGTGAGCTGGGAAGAGTACCAGCAGGGCAGACATCCCAGGTGAGTCGATCAGCAGACATTTCTTTCTGTCAGAAGGTGGCACAGGTCTGACTAGTGAGCTCTTATGCAACGGGCAACTGACGGCCGACCATTTTTGTCCGTGCTGTCACTCTGCAGGTTCTCGCACGAGGAGCCCCATCAGCAGCGGGAAGGGGATTCGAGTGGAGTGGCAGCTGTCGAGCCACCATGTGATTGTGCTGCTGAACAAGGCCGGCACGGATCTTCTCCCCACAGACAGCCACAGTCGCCGCCATTTTCAACACGCTCGGACAGCACGAACACACACCAGTACGATGGCCGAGAAGTGAGTGCTTCTTTCAGAAGAAAACCACTCACTCTGAGGGCCTGTGTATCTGTGGGTGTGTGGGCGGTGTGTGAATTCGTGTATGTGCGCTTGTCAGGTATCGCAAAGCGTCCTGCAGAGACACCGAGGATGACGACGAGGAACGCAAGACTGTAGGGGAGCGTGTGGGTGCTGGTGTGCAGCTCGCGGCAGCAAGTGCGTCTGCATCGGCTACACAACACGGTAGGCATAATGTCTTGTTTCAGTGGCGACTGTTTGTCATGGATTCCAGTTGGCGGTGGTGTTGGCAGCACATGGACATGGCCATGGAGTCGCTGCTGGGTTACCTGTTTGGTGGGCTTCACCTGAACCACCCCAGAATGATCGCCGTCCGAACGCCATTTGGCGTAGGGCTGCAACAGGTGGGCGAGATCGGGACAACCGACACAAAGAAAGATTGACTCGTAGACACACAGACAGGCGCACAGACAGGCACACAGACATACAGAGAGAGAGGGAGAGGCGACTTAGCTGGGATTGACCGCATGTGTGCCCTCTTCCCTTCAGGCCTCCCCGAGAAGGTGGACAAGTGGGTCCAATGCCCCGACTTTCGACGTCACCCTTCCCATCGTCTCGTCTCGGAGATGCTCCGCCGGGCAGATCGGGGCGGCTGGTCTGGCGGCAATGCAGGACGGCACCACTCAGACAGGTGAGCGAGTGGGCGGGCTGGGATTGCCAAGTACAAGTGAACGTACGGACACACACACCTGCTTGATGTCATGTGTGTGTGCATGTGGGTGGATGTATGCCGCAAAATGGTGGAAGACCCTCGCTCGAGATCAAGTGCAAGGAAGAAATTCGGCGTCAATGGGCGCGCAGAGGAAGGTACAAAGGAGAGACACAGTATATATATATGTATTTTGTGACTTACCATTTTCTTCATCAGGACAATCGGTGCCTACGTTTTATATTTCAAAGGCTTTTCCGATCAACGACCGTACCTTCTCATCGGACAGCCGATGGACACACAGCCAGACAGACAGCACTCACGCACACATGCGCGAGAGGAAGAAGACATACATGCAGCCACGAGTGTGCCTATTGTGGTGTGCTGTGTCCGCAGACGGGATATTGGTCCCGCCGATTGCCGGCGTGGCCTTCTCAGTCACATGAGGACTGCAGCAGCCACGTCGAGGTCACCACCGCCGTGGGTATGTCCGTCCACTTTGCTCGCACCGATTGCCTGTAGTTCATCTCGGTCTCAGGAAGATGTTCGCGACTATCCATTCCGTACTCTGTTGCGTGGGCTGGGCAGGTAATCCAACATCCGTTGGATGGCACCAAAATAAAGACGAGCCTCGGTGAGGCGGAGGACGCGTTGATTTAGCATCTTATTCGTCTGTCCATTCAGGCACTTCATCGACCGAGAACATCTTCTTCATTTGTGCCGGCGCCTTCCCCCAGGTGGGGAATCACCGCCAGCAGTGCATATGATCTGATGATGTGGGACGTCCCGAAAGGACTCGACGTACGCCGCAGTGTACGGACGAGCATTCACTGTCTTGCACATGGGTGTGTCTCAGCGATTCTGCGGCGGCTCGTCAAGCATGAAGGTGGAGCGGCGGTGACCAAGTGCCGCAAAGTGGAGCAGCTCGGGCGGTTTTTGATCCAGGTGTGCGGCTGATCAACACACAAGAACACGTCGTCCGGTCACTTGCTGGTCATAGTGGCACACACGGGTTAGCGACAAGCGAGGACATCTTGGGACGCTGCATTGCTTTGTCTGCCTTCAGAGAAAATGGCGCAAGGTGCGCCGCATGAAACCATGGCGAAAGGTAGCGAAGCGGGAGGGAGGGAGGGAAGGAAGGAGGGAGACACGAGCACATGTCCTTCAAGATGTCAGATTAGTCGTGCTTCATGTGTGCATTGGTCGGCTCAGAGTCTGTCAAATAGAATTCAACGACCAAGACCGGCACAAGGAGATTGGAGAGCGTGATGGCCCGGCAGGAATGAAAGGAACAAGTATGCATTTGTGCACAGACTGTACTCACGGCCCCACACAAAACATAGACGGCATCAGCATGACATACAGTCGTGCCAGGAAGCGAGATAAGGAACATGCCATCCATCCCCCCATCCACTCTCTGTGCGTGTAGGACTCTGGTGGTGCATTCCGTCGCTTTATCCCACCAGGCGATGGCCGGCAGGCGGCCCAACGAGGAAGAAGACGAGAATGCCCTGCTTGCTGAGAGAGATAAGGAGCTGGCAGAGGAGCGGCAGCGGAGGGAGGAGGCTGAGGCGGAGGTGCAGCGGCTACTCGCCTCGATGGCAGATATGGAGGAGGAGTGCGAGGAGGAGAGGAGGAGGGCCGCATTCGTCAGGGAGAAGGGGTCGTGTGTGGACCACGGGTTCCTCAAGCGCATTGGCGCCAAGGAGGAGAGGATAAGGGTTCTGCAGAGATATCCCAACCTGCACGAGACAACCATCATTCAGGCAAGCGGGCCGGCGGGTGGGAGAGGTTGGGCAGGGCTGGTATGTGCTATATGTGTGTGTTATGTGTGTGTGGTGTGTCAGCTCGATTCTCATTGTTTTAAGTACGACGGCCTGGTCCGCCACTTCAAGAACCGCTTCAAGCTCAGTGGCAAGGAGTCCTTCCCTGACTTCTACTTCGAGCTGATGCACAACTTCTTCGACAGACCTGGCCGCCACACAGGGGTCAGCAGACACACACACACATCCATCCATCCATCCACATCCATCCTATATGTGTGTGTGTTGTGGGTGGTGCGCAGGTGGGTGTGATGGATAGGACGGCCAAGCCAGACATTTTGAAGCTGCTGCTGGAGGGGGAGAGGGAGTTTCTCTGGAAGAGGCGGCCCCAGAAGTTCACACACTTCCACGAGCTCGTCGACGTGCGCACACAAACACGCAAACCATCCACACACACACGTTCTTCCATCCATGTCCTGCTCTCGTGCTGATTGTGTTGTGTTGTGTTGTGTGGGTGCAGTGGCTGCAGGCCACCCAGAATGAGCTCCGCGTGTGTTTCGCCGGCGGGGATTCCGCACTCGAGTGCGCGGCCAAGGCGCTGAGGGCCGGCATGGAGGGCGAGGGGGGGAGGGGGAGGAGAGCCCAATCTTGCTGTGCTGCTGCGATGGCTGGATCATCATTATCATGTGAGCGACGATCCACCCACCCACACGACGGCCATGGATGTGTGTGTGTGTGTGTGTGTGAGTGCAGAATTCTGATCATCTTCATCATCAAAAAGTGCAAGGGCGGCTGGATCATGTGGGCGTGGGTCATCGTGTGGCGCCTCATCGTAAGTGCCCACGCGCCACCCATCCAGCCACCCGCCCACTCACCCGAGTGTGCAATTGTCTGTCTTCAGATAGTGACGCAGTGACGCAGATCCGTTCCTCCGGGGTTTAGGCACTGCACTCGTCGACGCGTGACAGGCCGCCCCACACTGGTCTATCCGTCCTATGCACGTTCCCTTGCTGCTTTCTTCGTGACGCTGCGTTCTCTCGGCCCCCTGACCGGCTGCCTTGTTCCCCGGTTTCCGTTCCTCTCCTCTGTCCCGTGAGCCTCCGCGTGGCAGCTGCTGCCACCTCTGGGCCCCTCCTCCCCCCTCCCGTTGCCTGAGCAGGAGGGGGCTCTCGGACCTCCCCCCTCTCCCCTGCCTGAGAATCCCTCCTCGGTTTGGGCCGGCCGACGGCATCGCCGACTTGACCTTCCCCGTGAGGGCCTGTCAATACATCATCGACAACTACCCGGGCCTCTCACTCGGTACTTGATTGACACACCTTTGCAGACGTCGTAGGGCAGTGTGTGAGGTATGTGTGGGTTTGCGCGGGGCTGATCAACGGCGGGGCCAACTGCCCGAAGCTGGTCCCCAACTTCGGTGACGCGCTCGCCCTTGTCGAGCGACACAACTATGACGTCGTCAAGGTCGGTGTGGACATATACTCGACACCATCCATCCATCCACTGACTCTGTCTCTTTGTCTGTGTGTGTGTGGGTATCCAGGTGTTGGCCGAGTTGTCGGAGAGCCCCACCATGCCACACGACGGCGTCAACTTCATCGTGGACGAGACGCTTGCGACGCTCGACGGGCCGGTCCGGTCAGATGCCAGCGACGAGGTGGGCGGGTGGGCACACTCACAAGAGGCAGGACAGAGAGGAAAAAAAAAACGAACGAGCATTGACTGCCATGTCTGTGTGTATGCGTGTGTGCAGTTCATCAAGCCCCTGCTGCCCATCAAGAGGGACCTTGAGATCGCCGCGCTGGGCAAGCAGTACTTGGCCATGATGTACACACAGCAGACAGACACAGCATATATAGTGTCACACGCCATTGTCTTGACCAGGGGAATCGGTGCCTACATTTTATATTTCCAAGCCTCTTTATCGACCAACGCCGGCAGTGGCTTACACCGTTGGAGGCCTCCTCAGCTTCCTGGGCGGCGTAGTGGCCAATTTCGGCATCCATTTGACTCGGTGCGACAATGAGTGCGTCCAGTGCCTGGGGCGGTGTTTTCTTGTGGCCGGGAACTTCATCCACTTCTGCGCCTTCGCCGTCGCGCCTGCATCTCTGGTGTACCCGACGAATGCCGCCGCCCTAGCCACAGTGCCATGCCTCGGCTGCGTGAGCAGATACACACACAAAGAGGGAAATGGATGGATGGATGGATGAGTGGGTGGGTGGGTGGATGGGTGTCTGTGTGTGGTTTTCGGTTGCATGGGTCTGTCAGTGCCTATTCCCTGGTGAGGAGAAGCTTCAGCCCCTGCGCGACATCTCGGTCATCATCGGCACCATCATAGGCATATGGCTGACTTCACTGGCTCCATTGTATGCGCACAAACCACACCAATACCACGTACGCGTACGCACGGCAGCACACCACAGAGCACCGGGCATGAATACAGACAGCCATCGATTGCCTCTCGTGTGTATATGTGTGTGTGCTTGTGTGGTTCATCAGAAGAGCGGTTGAGAGCAAAGGACAGAACGTACTCTATTTCACAAGGCTCTGGGGTGGGTGCGTCCACACACAGGAGACGTCTGTCTCCTGTACGTTTGTTCGTGTGGTACAGGAGTGATGTACGGCCTGTCGGTCGGTATTTGGGGATGTCAGGTGGGCCTGCAAGCCAAACAGGCGTTGGAGGTGAGATAATGCACTCATGGCACTGGCCTGCATCTGCACCTGAAGAGATATGCTTTTCTCTCCTCTGTGCAGCTTCTCATGCAAGGCGACATCCAGTACGGGCCGCTGATTTGGGCGCAGTTCATTTGTATATCCTCCGGCCTGCTGCAGGTACGTAGCCTCTCAATAAATGACGCGCTCGTACCCCGTCTTTGTGTGCGTTCATTCGTGTGTGCGTGTCTCCGTGTGTGTGTGTGTGTGTGGTGCAGCTGTATTTCACCCACGACGGGATGAGACACACGGGGCGGGCCACCGAGGTGATTCCTGCGTCAACGGCCATGAACTGCGTGTGTGGGACGCTTGGCGGTGAGAGCCATGTCATACACACGTCGTACATGATTTCGGACAGCCATCGATTGCCTCTCGTGTGTGTGTGTGTGTTTGTGTGTGTGTGTGTGGGCAGGTTGGGGCTGACCTGTTCTTCTACCCTTACTGGGCGTACTATTTGTATCTGTGCGTGTACCTCGCAATCGGCGTGGCGATCGAGCGGGCAAAAGACATCACAGAAGAGAGGCGCAGGTACACATGCGAGATGGATGGATATACGGCGGCCTCTCCTTTCTGTCTGTCTGTCTGTCTGTCTGCAGGAGTTGGGATCCCGACAGGCAGACTGAACGTCAGCCAGTACGGCAAGCTGCGCGCCCCCCTGGCCCCGGCCCGCTACCCCAAGGATGGGGATCGGCGAGCTGCGCAAGCTCAAGAGCGAGTAGAGAAGCTGAGGGCGCCCCAGCTGTGCCATGACCTCAGCAAGAGGGACGCCAGGTAGAGGGGATCGGGTTGGGTCTGTCGCTGGTGGCCATGGTGGGGGCGTCGTTCTCATGGGAGTCGGCTTGTTAGTGGTGTCGGCTGGCGATGTCGTTGTTGTCATTGAAGCAGCCCGTAAGGACGTCAATGTCGTGGAGGCAGAGAGCGGTGTTATCATCGACACGAGGAAGAAACAAGGTAGTACACAGACACTTGCAGCAAGCCTCCCTCTCTCCCTTTACGCCTGCTGACTCGCTCATTTTTTTTCTTTTGCTTACGCTAGGATGGGCAAGAGATAGATGGCGTACCGCTCGCTTATCGACCACAGCTACAGCCTCAGATGCCATTGGTACCGGACGGGACAGAGATGCAGGGAGACAGACAGACACAGCATATATTGTCACACACAATTTTCTTGATCAGATGAATCGGTGCCTACGTTTTATATTTCCAAGACTCCTTTCATACAACGCTTGCCTGTACCTTCTCATCGGACAGCCGATAGACGTATGGTCAGACAGGAGGGAGACATGCAGCCACGTGTATGCCTATTGTGTGCTGTGTCTGCAGACGGGATGTTGGTCGTGCCGATTGCCGGCGTGGTATTCACAGCTACATGAGGATGGCAGCGGCCATGTCAAGGTCACCACCAAGGCCATCGTCACAGTGCCTGTGGGCGTGCTCAAGGCCGGCAAGAGCGGCTCGGCTTGGGTGGGTGGGCACAACAAGGTAGAAGGATGTGCATGTCCCTCCACTCTACTATACTATGTGTCTTGTCTTGATGTCGATGTAGAGGAGGTTAGAGCGGCGGCTTCTTGACAAGGAACGGCAATGTACCATTGCCGCCACGGAGACTCAAGTAAAAGAGGAGGATTGGAAGAGGGCGCTGTGCGTGTGTGTTTGCTCAGGTATTGAAAGCGCACTGCACGGCTATGCTCGCGATGCAAAATCCGTGGGCTGCGACGACATTGTCTGCCGCCTGCGCTTGAGGACCTGCTTTTGTGTGGTTTCGACGACGGCAATCGTGCCCGCTGCCCAGTCCACGACAGAAAGAGGGAGAGAGATGGATATGGCGGACAGGCGGCTGACCGTCGCCAGATTAAAAGAGCGCGTCGCTGAGCTCGAGCGGCTCCTTGAGAAGGAGCGGCAATTTAGCGAGCGGCTCAACGCCGAGAACGCCGAGCTGAGGGCGACCATTGCCAGCATGGAGGAGGAGAGGGACGAGGAGGGGAAGAGGGCGGCCTTCGGCCGTGAGAAGGGTTCTTGCATAGATCCCTTTTTTTTTTGCGAGTATTGGGGCAAAGGAGGAGGGCGTGACGGTGTGGGAGAGATACGCAGACAGCCTCGATGCGCAGACCATCCTGCAGGTACGCGTATATCTGTCCCAGGTATCTGTCCATGCAAGGAGGATTCGAGTCTGCATGCATGTGCTCTGTGTGTGTGTGTGTGTGTGTGTGTGTTTGCAGCTGGACTCGCATTGCTTTAAGTACGATGGGCTGGTACGCCACTTCAAGAACATTTACGACTCGTTCCCCGACTTCTACTACCGGCTAATGAAGGGCTTCTTCCCCAAGGACTGCCACTCTGCCGTGAGTGCAGACACGCACACGCACACACACCCATGGGGCATCCATTCTCTGATGTGTCTGTCGTGCTGTGTTCTACTGTGTGTGTGCAGCTGGCGCTGATAGACGGCCGCCCCAGACATCATGAAGCTGCTGCTTAAGAGCGAGAGAGAGTTCCTCTGGGCCATTCGACCACACAAATACAAACACTTCTACGAGCTGCTAGACGTACGCACAAACACAAATGACATGCACGACACACACACGCAACGCGCACACACCTGCAATGTGTCGTGTGCCATCCATCAATCAGTGGCTGGAGGGCAAGGCCGAGGAGCTGCTGCTGAACTTTGCCGCCAACAACTCCGCCTTGGAGTGTGTATCGAGGGCCATCCGAGCGGCCAGGAGAACCGACAAGATGCATCTGATCGCGGCGTGCGATATCATGTGAGCCCACACACGGAGACACAGAGACTCGCAGACCGTCCATCGTATGTGTGTGTGTGTGTGTGGGTGGGTGGGTGGTGTATGTGGTGTGGGTGGTGTGGGTGGTGTGTGCAGCTGTATCCTAATATTCATAATCAAGAAGTACGAGGGGCAGTGGTACGTGTGGCTCTGGGGCATCATCATCCGCATCATCGTCAGTACATGTAACCCCCCCCCCCCCC